GGGGTCAGTACAGGTTAGACCATCCTAAACTGAACAAGAGGGGTCAGCACAGGTTAGACCATCCTAAACTGAACAAGAGGGGTCAGCACAGGTTAGACCATCCTAAACTGAACAAGAGGGGTCATCACAGGTTAGAGCATCCTAAACTGAACAAGAGGGGTCAGCACAGGTTAGACCATCCTAAACTGAACAAGAGGGGTCAGCACAGGTTAGACCGTCCTAAACTGAACAAGAGGGGTCAGCACAGGTTAGACTGTCTTAAACTGAACAAGAGGGGACAGCACAGGTTAGACTGTCCTAAACTGAACAGGAGGAGTGAGCACAGGTTAGACCATCCTAAACTGAACAAGAGGGGTCAGCACAGGTTAGACCATCCTAAACTGAACAAGAGGGGTCAGCACAGGTTAGACCATCCTAAACTGAACAAGAGGGGTCAGTACAGGTTAGACCATCCTAAACTGAACAAGAGGGATCAGCACAGGTTAGACTGTCCTAAACTGAACAAGAGGGGACAGCACAGGTTAGACTGTCCTAAACTGAACAAGAGGGGACAGCACAGGTTAGACTGTCCTAAACTGAACAGGAGGAGTGAGCACAGGTTAGACCATCCTAAACTGAACAAGAGGGGTCAGCACAGGTTAGACCGTTCTAAACTGAACAGGAGGGGTCAGTACAGGTTAGACCATCCTAAACTGAACAAGAGGGGTCAGTACAGGTTAGGCCGTCCTAAACTGAACAGGAGGGGTCAGCACAGGTTAGACCATCCTAAACTGAACAAGAGGGGACAGCACAGGTCCGACCGTCCTAAACTGAACAAGAGATGCATAGCTGAAATAACTCGCCACTGACTGCTTAAAGCAGGGGAATAGGAAATTATGAAAATTTATCATCTAGAGTGTCGGCCACTGAGCCTCCTGGGATATCAGCCTTGTATTTGGGTCCTCAGGACACAACTGCGTAGTAGTTTGTGTGATGGATGTTACAAAATCTGTCATTGAAGTATGTCTTCATATGTGAAGTATGAACAATTTTAAATTCAGACTTTCTGATTTCTGTTGCTTATAGTAAAAAGTGTGTTGCTTCTTTACTCAAACTGGGGTATGTAGAGAAAAGAAAGAGAATATGTGCATTTAGCCCATTTCAGAAAGAACTTGGTCTTGGTAAGATTTGAGTAACCAAGGCCATTTGGATTTTGTTGGGCAGTTAAAGGCACTAGTTGGAGTGAATTAAGATTGTAAGCAGAAGTGCCATTCTTACCTCTTCTGTAATGAATAGGACAGATACCCTTCCCTTTCCTGTTGCTTCCCTTGTTTAACAGGAAAGTGGATACACTTGGACATTTGAAAACGGCTTTCCCCTGAGGGTGGAGTCTGTTCACTCCCCAGAGGAAGGTAATTCAACAAGTCCTTTCGTAGGTTCATCATGTGTGCTTGTCATGATGCTCCCTGCAGAGGATACCACTTGTATAAGAGCAGCCCTTCTGTTACCTAGTAGTCAGTTCTTGTATATATTTTATTTAAATAAACTCAGGTTAAACAGAGTAACAACTGTGCCCAAATGTCTTGTGTCTTTTGAGCCCTTGATAGTTAGTTCTTGGCTTACATGTGTTGTGACAGGGATACAATACTTTATTTGAAACAGAATACATTTACCCATTCATTGTGTTTGCTTATCTTCGTAAAGCTTTATGTAGGTAGTAGAAAGATAAGATTAAAGCCTTTTTCTTTGATATTTAAACACTCTCTCTTTAAGAAGCAATAGAGATCATATTCTTTACAGAAGTAATGTTTGAAAGTTTTATATTCCCAATAATCTTTTTCTTTACTAGGCAAAGCATTCCCAACATCTTTAGTGCTTCATTAGTCTTGTGTATGAGTTTTGTGGGTGTGATATTGTTTCTAATGTTTGGTTCAATTCTCTTATAGAGATTTTGAATAAATGTTCCCTTGAGATTTCTTAAATCTGGACCCAGAAAAAAAACCAAACAAACAAATAATAGTTGATATTTACATCATATTCCTTGTATTCATATGTTATTTGAAAATGGTCAGATTACTGAGATGTGGTGTAACATGAGGTCCTGCTAGTTTGTGTTTTCTGATCTGCCCGGTTCCCACAGCTGTTTAGCCCCAAAGAAAATCACACAGAGATCTCCGTAAGTTATAAAGCTGATTGGCCCATTAGGTCAGCCTTCTTATTAGTTCTTATGATTTATATTAACCCATTATTCTGATCTATTTTAGCCATGTGACTCAGTACCTTTTTCAGTGGGGCAGATCACATCCTGCTGCTTCGGTGATCTGGGCAGGAGTGGAGGAATCAACTTCTTCCTTCCCAGAATTCTCCTGTTCTCATTGCATCATTTCTACTTCCTGTCTGGTTTTCCCGCCTATACTTCCTGCGTGGCCAATCAGCGTTTTATTTAAAACATGATTGACAGAATACAGACAATTCTCTCGCACCAATGTGGTGGCACATGCCTATAATCTTAGGACTGAGAAGGCATTGAAAGTTTAAGGCCATCATGGGATACTTAGTAAGAAACTGTTTCAATATCTTCTTCGCATCGAAAAGATTTGATGGCTAACAGTTGATTTCCCCATCTTTCACTGACACAATTGTTACTAATTGTATAGGTTGATGTATTTAATAAGGAGGGTCATGGAACATCAGAATAGGATTATTAATAGAAAGTACAAACTTACCTTGAAGACACGGGGTGGGAGAATGTTATGACCATTTTCATTTGAGGTATAGAATGATGTTTTAGTTTTCAGAAACTTCTCAAAACTAAGAAATTTAATTAAAGTAATTTTGCTTTATATCAATAAAGGCCAACAAAAGTAGCTTACGTCACTAATTATTTTTCTGTCATTTTAGAACATTTACTGAGTCTCTAGTATGTGTCAGGAAGATTATGACTACAATCCATGAGAGTGTTTGTCTAGGAAAGGGATGGGTGGGAGGTGGGCATCTATCAAACAAGGCTCTTCTGTCTCGTCTGCTGTGTGATGACCTTTGTAAGGTCATCACAGCCTCGTTAAGGAACTCATAAATAACCCTCTCGTGTTACTAGAAGCCTTAATATTCTTTAGCTTTGTATTCCTGAGATGGTGTCACCTAAGAGAAGAGATTTTCTGAACTCCCAGCAAGTATATGATTGCAGAATTAATGTTCCGGAGCATTATGATACCTGCTTGGAGCGTTTCTCAAGCTTTGTTGCACTTTAGAGATCCTGGGTTTTGAAGAAGGACAGGCGAGGGGAGAGGAGCCTCTATCACTGCTACAGCATCCTAGGAAGCTGGTTCTTGGTGTGTTCGCTGCCTAATGGGGGCTCAGAGTCC